AGAGCTGTCTGCAAAGACAGAAAACTGCTTCGGAAGGTGGCAAGTTAAAGGCAATCAAGCCAAGGCTAGTTTCATCCAGCCAGCTGCTCCACGACCGTTTATTGACGAGCCCTGTGCTAAGCCTGGCGATAGGGAGATCACAGCGAAATGACACACATCTTCCCTGCCTGCCCTATGGCGCCAACTGTTTAGTGAGTAAAAAATCTTTTCCTCATCAACTTCAGGTTAGTGTTTACCTGCAGGGATGGAAAGTGGAGAAAGGTTTGGGGCACGTGGAGCTTTAGTTATGTCATACCTTTTACTTCCCAAGAGAGAAACTAGAAATCTGAAATAATGGAAAATCACTAACATATTTAATCTCAGTGCTGAGTACACAGATGCCTGTTAAGCTACTTTTCTTCATTTTAGTTTGTTTGTAATGTATCACAAAAGGGCCAAAATCAATTAACTTAAGTAGCAGTAGTATTGTTTTTAAGAGATCATCACAATACTAATCATCAGTGTCAAGCTAGGGGAAGCACTGGGTACAACAGGACAGAAGAGCGACAACCAACCCAATTTAAAGATAAACGGGAAAAGGCGAGGAAATAGATTCTCCCCTAGAGCCTGCAGTAGGACACATCCCCGCGGATACTTTCATTTTAGCCTGCTGAGACCTGACTGGGCTTCTGACCTCCAGCCATGTTTTCAAAAACCTGTAAAAGGTACCTAGAAGTGGTGACCAGAGTTTCAGAACAGGAGCAAGTAGTTAGCACAAGTCTCAGAATAAAGAGGATCGGGGCGCATTCCTATAACCTCAAGGGGTCATCTCACAAGTCCTGACTGAAGGGAGAGGGGAGGTGATCAGTGGTAGCCGGGACTCAATCGAGGTAAGCCTTTGAGGCCAGGAAAAGGGATTTGGATTTATCTTAAATGAAATAGGGAGCTTCTGGAGAGTTTTAAGCAGGATAGAGATGATCAGATTTGCATTTCAGAAAGATCGGTCTGGTGGAAGCAGAAAAGGTGAAGTGAGAGGAAAGTAGGACTCGGCCAGGTAGACAGGCAGGCGTTTATCACAGGACAGGAGAATTTCAGGGGCCTGAAATAGCGGGGTTGCAGTGAGGACGAAGTAATGACATGAGGTAGAATTTAAAAGCTTGGTGACCCATTGAATGTAGGGAAAAGATAGCATTGGTATAATTGGATGGTGGGTGGATAGTAAAAAGTCGAATCAGAAACCTGCCTGAGTTCTGCAGAGGAGCACAATACTTACCTAAAGCTTCCTGTTAACATCTTAAAGGCTAGCAATCCATACCTATGGCAGGAAGGACCTTTATCACTGAAAGGGAAGCTAATTTTCCCTGCTTTACAGGGTGATTATGAGGATTAATCGAGATAAGCAGATCAGGAAAGAACGTTACATATGTTAAGTAGCTTAGTAGTCCTCATACCCACCCACCCACCTCCTTATTATGATTTCTAATTCTCTACTTGCTGGTCTTTTTGCAAGAACCACCTCTAGCAGTCACCCTTTCCAAGGGAAGAATTCAATACTTATAAAACCCTTACGCTGTACCAGGCGCTGTTCTAAGCACTGGGGCCATCAAGGACTTGAATAAATCCACATAGGTTCATTTCCTCACCCGCCTCCTGTAGACGATTATTAGGCTTGGACTCATGTGTAGAAATATCTCTTGAGTACTATTGTTTCAGGCACCGAAAGGATGGTCAGGGCTAATACAGGGGTGGGCAAAAGTGGGTTTACAGTAGCACTGTGACATTCTTTTGCGTTAACAAAGCTATTGTGATAATCATAACCTGCATGTCTTTTTCCACATGAGCAACTGAAAACCCACTTTTGTCCTCTCCTGTATAAATTTAGCTCACATGATTAAAAGTTTCAAACACAGCACACTTTCTAAAGTGTTCTGGTAAAACAATGTTTTTCTTTGGCATAAGCAATCCAAATAGCTCTAACCTTAATCATTTTTCAAGTGTTAATCTCCACGTGCCTGGCATATTCTGATAACAGTGACAGGTTAAAAGCAACATTCTGTGGTGTGCAGGGTGATTGCTGCAATTAACCTTCATTTAGGCTGAAAGTAGACTGATCAGCTGCCTCACAGCAACAGTTCTAAATTTATTAGATAAATACCTCCAGAGAACTTTAAAGAGCAACAAAAATAAAACCTGCGGCACTGCAGCCTCCCCTTACACAAGGAGAGTCTTACAGCAGTGAAGGTGCCGGTAAGACTTCCTGAGGAAAGAGAACTTTTTGGCCTTTATTACACAGTAGCTATGGTTGACAAAAATTATGCTGGAGATAAGAGAATGTAGGTGAACACAGTCCAAAGAACACATCTCACCTTCATTCTGTTGAAGAACTTTTGAGTCTACTAGTATTTTACTCAAGGTATAACCGCACTATAACCCAAGTCTGAGGAACCCCTTGCAAACTCCAGGACCTCATGAATGCCTAATGCCATCAATCCATTCCTTTCAAATATGTTCAATAAATGGTGACGATTATTTATGTCATCTTAATTTCTCAATGCTGCCTGATTTATACAAAGACAGAGGAGCTCAGAATGGCTATGTGCTCAGTCACAAAACAAGTAACAAAGCAGGATACAAACTCAGGCCTGACTCCAAAGTCTGTGCGTTTGCCATCAAACTGTGCAGCTTGGATGTCAAACCTTTTTGACATCATGCGTTAGATTTGCCTTTTCCTTTAAATGTCAGGATCAGATCAGAAATCAGAGTAAGTGTATCTTGAGGAGGAAGGAGTCAGGAAGAAGAGAATGAGATTTCCTTGGGCTCTTTGTTCTAATTTACCCCTATTATTATTTATTGTGTCAATACATGCATGCAAATAATGTATGTTTATTGTGGGAAATTATAGCATTTGTATAAGCCAAAAGAGAAACTAACTGAATACAAATCACCTGTGCTCTTCTCATAAATGGCCTGAGGTGACCTCTGAAAATGGTTGGCAAACACCACAAAATCGTGCAAATCAAGAGGTTCAGATCTTTGTGTTCACTTTAAGGACACTCATGAAACTGCCCAGGCCCTTAAGGGTATGCATAGTTGAAGAGCCACCAGGTACCTGAAGGATGTCACTTACAGAAACATGTGCCGTTCCATCATTACAATGGTGGAGTTGGCAGGTGCACTTGGGCCAAACAGTGGAGCTGGACACAGGGTCAGTGGCCCAAAAAGAGTGCTAGTTTTTTGCTGCGCATGCTTAAAAATGCAGAGAATGCTGAATTGTAGGGTTTAGATGTAGATTCTCTGGTCATTGAGCACATCCAGGTGAACAAAGCTCCCCAAGATGCAGCACAGAACTTACAGAGCTCATGGGTGGATTCACCCAGACACGAGCTCTCCCTGCCCCACTGTGATGATCCTACTGAAAAAGAGCAGGTTGTTCCTAGACCAGAAGAGGAGGTTGCAGAGAAGAAAAGGTTATCCCAGAGGAAACCGAAGAAACAAAAACTTAAGGCCTGGCAATCAATTCAGCATGAAGTGAATGCTCATAAAGTCTTCTTAAATACCCACCTGCAATCCCACCACCTACAGAGGTCTCCAGCTTCGTTGGACCTCAGCAAGGCTAAGCAGAACGTGACAATATGGTGACACCTCACATTTCTCCCTTTGTCATACAAACATAATCAGACCTTTGGGCCAGAAAAGTGCTGCAAATGTCAGATGAGGCAGTGGCAGCGGAAAGATCTTTGGGTTCTTGACAATAATCATGGTTCTATCATAGTCTCATTTTAATATTCATAAAAAATTTTAGCATTTACATAAAGTAAAATTGAATTTTTAAAAATAAGCTTTTAGATTTTTAAACACCAAACTGTTAAGCAAAAAGACTCAGTATAGGCAGATAATTCCATCTTTACTGAAAACACTGAACAACATATTAAGAAGTCTCTTCTTATATAATCATTAGCAGTATATTTCATAGAATTAGGATGGTGGGAACCATCATATTGCAGGCAAGATAGCAATGAACAGACCTGGGGTTAAATCCGGACTTCACCATTTATTTCATGAACTTGCGCAAGTCATTCAATCATTATGGGACTCAATTTACTTATCTGTAAAGTGGGGATAATGATATTGACTCTTTAGGAAGACTCTACAGAAATGTGAGGATTAAATTAAGGTATATAATGAGCTTAGCATAACATCTTGCACATGGGAGCAGTAAAAGAAATCTTTGTTAAGTTAAAATCTTGAAATTTTAAGAGCTTAAGCCTTAATATTTCTTATATCTTTTCTTGAAAATATCTATTTCCTAAGAAAGTAAATAACATTCCTCCTCCATCAGACAATGACTAGCTTTAAAGGCATCGCTACATTAAGAATTAAAATATTAGGCTCCACTCAAGAAGATGTAGGAATGAGTAACTCTTGCCACACTGATTAACAAATGCAGTATTCCAGGACTCAACTGGGTATTCAGTGCTGTTCAGAATTATTCATTCCTAATTAGCAATTTTTATTAATGTCTAAATTTATCCACCTCCCTTCCCCTCTCAGGAAGGGAGAAAAAAAGACCATTATGTGTTATCTTCCTACTTCCTCCCTAAAACCCTTCCCTCTTCTCTAGAAGCTCTCAGGAGGGCAATCTGATACTTAGCTATCTGACCTCTTGTGCCAAACTAACAGATGTGCTCTCATGCCCAACACTCAGAGCCCACGCCCTCTCCCCAGCAGCCATGGGATTCTGTCTTGTCCCTCTCCAGCTCCTGGGTGCGAGGGGCAGCAGTCAGCATGAGTAAGCAGTGTCCTAACTGCAGAGCAAGGCGTAGGTGCCGGTCGCTGCAGCGTCTTATCCAGTTACTCTGAACACGGTATTTGACAGCTGACTGGGGCTTTGTTTGCACGTGGGTTTGGGCTACTTGGCTTTGTTCTTTCTCCACTATCCTGGTTAACTGAGACTGTACAAATGTATCAAAAACTTTAATATGTGATCACTTTTTGACTAAGAATGGACAATTCTAGGGAAAAAAATCAGAAATGCATGTTGTTCATTTATTGGGATAACTTAAATACCAAACAATAAGGAATTACATAAATTATGATACAGACATGGAATACTCTACAGGCATTAAAAATAATTTTGTACAAATATTTTTGTGTAAATATTGAAATAGAAAAATCTTTACAATGTGAAGAAGCAGACTACAATACAGTAAGTACAATGTACCACTTTTGCGAAGAAAAATGTATATACATGCATGGAAAAAGTACTAATACATACATAAAAATATTAACATTATCTTTGAACTATAAAATGAGTTTTTTTCTTTGTACTTTTTGGTGTTTTCCCAAAATTTCTGCATTAAGCTTGAATTTTGTACATAGAAAAATGCAAAATGGATGCTGATTTAATGAGAGAAAGGAAGAAGGAAGGTGCCAAAACCCTGGGGAATATCTACATTAAAGTGTTTGAGGAAGAGAACCAACATCTTAGACTTGTACTTTTTAAGAACTAATTTTCTTTCTTGCTAGTTTCTTGCTATTAGATCTATTTTAGCTTGTTAGCTACCCTATCAGCTTGCCCACTGCTTTAAAAGCAGGGTTATCATATAAAACATCTCAGACAGAGGCCTTAACATATAATTTTATACTTACACAAAGAAATAGCCAAATAAAAATAGTGTTCCGTGAAAGTAAAAAAACCCTAAAAAAACTGTATTCACATGAATTAAATTCATTCACATAAAAAAATAAAAAAATAAGAAAGAAAAAACATGTTAAGGAATTACATATATTAGGCAACAGGGAATTAGGCAAACTGGAAAAAGTGAAGTGTTCTTGTCATGTAAATTTACAATGAAAATAAAGCCTAAAGATTTAGGAGTGTAATGCGAAGAAACTGCATTTCTAGATTTTATGAACGACCCAGAGTACTACAGCTTATTTGAATAAATACTTTGAGAAGCACCTGCTTTGAAACATACTTTCCACCTGGCCACGTTAATAACTGTAACAACTGTGCAAGAATCACATGACTTTTCAAGATTTGACTGCAAGTATTTCTTATATAATTGAACTTATATGGCTATGCAAACTTAAGGACTTTTAAAATCTGGGCTTAAGTGATACTGAAGAAACTTCAAAGCACTGTTTGCAACCAAAAGAATCTAGGAAACACTAGAATATGGGCATCTACCAGCTACCTGAATTGCAGCCAAAATATTATCACTGTGAAAAAGTGAATCCCAAGGAAATACAAGCTCATTAGGGGTAGAGATGTTTGTTTTGTTCCCTGCTGCATCCTAGCATCTAGAACAGAGCCTCTCAAGTGGCAGACACTCAGTGTTTTAAGGAATGAATGAATCAGAGACTATTCCTGAGGTATATTAGGAGTCAACCCAAATTTGCTTCATGTATCAGTACTTAAACCTCCCACCAACTGGAGAACCTGTTACTGAATGACTAACATACTATGAAGCTAAATGGAATATACAGTATATTTTTGAGTAAAATGAGTGATAAAAAATTATGATTTTTACTTTTGAGGAGCCCAGCCCTAGTAATTTTGAAATTGGTATGCCTGTTACTAAAGAAAGCACATAATAGAATTATGGAGGCCTAACATTTCATGTGTTTCCATCTTCTTAAAACCCTGCTAAAACACGGGAAAAACCAGTGCTAACATACAGGTGCTGCTTCCTTCAGACTCTGCACATCACTTCAGGCGCTTGTCCAGCATCTGCCTGGCAGTGCTAACAGATGGAAGACATTAATCTTCTGTTCAGTGTTCCCACCTTGTCCACCAACTTCAAATGCAACTGCACTGAGCTAGATGAGTCAGCATCTGGTCTTTCAAAAGCTAGTGCATCACTCCCACAGCAAAACGGAAAAAGTTCACACTTCAGAGGCCTGAACCAGTGCCAGAAGTACCCATGCTGCCTCAAGGTTTCAGACTCCCTGGTGATCTTTAGCTCCTTGGATACCGAGGCAAAGACAGATCTGAAAGCTACAGAAAACCAGGCGGGTTCACACTAGACCGCACCCCAGGCAATATAAATGGTATTTGTTCACACCACGTATTAACTGCTTTGAAGGATCAAAATGCAGAAGACAGCTAACATTCAACGTTTAAGGTTTCTTAATAATAAAGCAATAAAAAAATCTGAGTAAGCCATACTTTTATTTTTCAGAAAAAAAGACAAGTGGCAACTTGCCTTAGGAAAAGACATTACAGAACATCAAGATAATAAGCTATCTATCTCATAGAGACAGTAGCCTAAGAAAGACTATTGATATACAGCTCTCAAAGAAAGTCCTATTAAATAAATTTCAGAATAAAATGCTTCCAACTAAAACAAAAGAAAAATATCATCAACAACAAAAAAATCACACAGAATCCGTAAAATGGTATGTGAAGAAAAGGGGAAAATCTGGAAATCCACATACTGAGAGTTCACTATTAAAATCAACCAGGCCAGAATCCTAAAAGAGAAGAAAGAAATATATTAAAACACTATTTTTAAAGAGTCCAATGAGGTTATTGTAGATGCACATTGTAATGCTTCATTTACTTAAGACATTTTTTCTTACCCTTGGGGCCCTTCTACATACACAGTAGAGATCATATGAATGACAATGCAGAGATCTGCCTTCTCAATGGGCCTTTTGAGTTTTAAATTTTAAATTTGAATCTGGAATCCTAATTAAATGTCTATATAATAGGCTACAGAGAATGGAATTGCTTTTTTAAATTTGCTTAGGCTCTGGCCCAGCAGCTCATATGGTTAGAGCATGGTCGTGATGCGCTAGGGTTGCTGCTTTGATTCCCGGTGAGGGCACATATAAGCAGCAACCAATGAATGCGCACATAAGTGGAACAACAAATCAATGTTTCTCTCTCTCTCCCCTCCTCTGTCTAATATTCAATTAAAATTTTTAAAAGTACATTTACTTAATTTTTATACATTAGCAATCTATATACTTTTGAATGGGACACAATTTACAGTATAAAAACAGATTATGTGAAACTACTCAAGCCTTCTCATAAAGAATAACTTCCAAAATGAAGATTCTTAATACAAAATGATATAGTTGGTGAGGGCTGGGGTTGGGAGGGAGGTGAGCAACCAGTGGAACTCACAGAGATCTAGATGTGAGATTCAGTTTCACACTGACCACACTAAGTCTTAGTCTCAATTTGTCTCCTGTTAAGAAGAGGCAGATGGATTTGTAAGCTTCATTTCTATTTTAAATCCAAAGACTCTTATGGTTTATAAGAAAAGATTTGAAAAACTTTTTGGACAATCAGTTGAATAAACTCCTCAGATCTTGACAATGTCTATCACTGTTCAAACTCCTGACAGTATCTATAAAGCATACCCCATAATTTTACTGAGAAAAGAAAATAATCTACCTTATGGGCAAAATTATACTTTATATCCTATTTATACGCTACAACGTAGAAGATAAATGCCTATTCCCTTCCTGGCCTCTAGAAATACTCTCTAAGATAGAGTCAACTGAAAACCCCAGGACTATGACTGTGGCCAAAATGTCTAGCCTGTCTTTCTCTGTCCTGACTCTGCAAGCTGCAGACAGTTCAGTGAACAATCACCTGACATACTCTGCACCCTCCATGCTATATAGGACTTCTCCATTACAGAGAGTGATTATACCAGGAAATTGTTTTCCTGAGAAAAATCTAGCATTACTGGAAGATTACTTATTAGAATAGACTAATGTACAGTCATGGAAATAAAAACCTTCTAGTAGCAGAGCCCTAGAGAACCAGAGTTGAATCAGGAAGACGAATGAGATCTCTGACTTCTCCAAGTATATTACCTATTTAAAGCTGAAGCCAATTAATAATTTTCATTGGCAGAGCCAAACTTTAGGTTAGAATAAGTACTTTAGTAGTTCAGGATTGAGGTCTATTAGCTTTCAGGTTTAGGGAAAAAGAAGAAAAGAGATTTAAAGATCCCACTGGCCCTGTCCAGGTGGCCCAGTTGGTTGGAGTATCATCCCAATACAGTAAGGTTGTGGATTCGATCCCCAGTCAGGGCACATACAAGAAGTGACCAATGAATGCATAAATAAATGAACAACAAATCGATGTTTCTCTCTCCCTCGTCCCTGTCCTCTCCTCTTTCTCTCAAATCAATCTTTTATTTTTTATTTATTATTATTATTTTTAATCCTCACCCAAGGATATTTTTTCCATTGCTTTTCGGCAAGAGTAGAAGGTGGGGGGGAGAGAAATCAATGTGAGAGACACATCAATTGGTTTTCCTCCTGTACTCGCCCCGACCGGGGCTGGGGATTGAGCCTGCAACCGAAGTATGTGCCCTTGGCCGGAATCGAACCCGGGACCCTTCAGGCTGAGGAACAATGCTCTAACCACTGAGCCAAACCAGCTAGGGCAATACATTTTTTAAAAGATCATGATGAGCCTAGGAGAGAGACACACAGAAAAGATATGCTTTACTGAACTACCTACAACACTACTTTCATCATAACGATATAATACTATGGACTATGTTTTTGTTTTGATGTTATTTTTTTCTTGTGAACTATGTCCTTTAACCATATTCACTGTAAAGAATGATAGTCTGAATTGAGAACTATAGGAACAACGAGCATACATGAAAATGCTTTACAAAAGATTAGAGATATTTCGGGCACATGCAGACCTATTTCCCGAGAAGCCAAAGGAGAGTTTTACAACACTAAATGATCTCTTCTCAAATTCTCATAATTTTACACAAATAATATACTATAATTAAGTTTACATATACATATCACTTACTGTTTCTTTTAAAAAATATTTATGGGTATAACTGTGTTTTTCTAAATGTCTCATTAGTAATACTCAGTCTTGTAAGTCTGGTTCCATAATAATCTATAATGTAACTGCTTCCATCTGAAGGTCCAACAATCTAGAAAAAAAAATTTTCAAAATTACTTTTTACCAAAGATATTTTCACAATACTGAGTTTATTTTTCTCAGTTGTTAATAAAATTATTTCAGTAGCACCAATAATACAACTCAAACTAATTCAAGCAAAAAAAAAAAAAACCAACAGTAATTTTTTTACATATTATATATATATATATAAAACCATGCAAAAGGAACTTACTTTATTAATGCTGATGGTTTTATTTGTAATTTATAAACTTTTGATTTTGTTAGTGGAAAATGTATTTTTGTTTGTATATATTTAAGTAGCACCCTAATAAAAATAAATTAATTAAAGGAAAAAATGCGATTACCAGTAAGTACTTTAATACCTAAACTTTAGCAACAGATACGATACTCCACTTAATGGCACTGCATTGTCACTGAAGGCATACTGCTCAAATATCAGGTACCTCAAATATCTTATAAATTTAAAATGTTATGAATGAATTGAAGAGTGAAAGGACAAAAAATAACACTTTATAAACTCTATCAGTGTAGCCCGTTTCTATCTAGTGCACTTACGAGTTTTTCCATATAAAGAATTCAAATATTAACATTGGCGAGATCAAATCAGCTGAAGACTGACTAACCTGGTGGAAAAAAGTAAAATGACTCAGCTGTCTGCCTGTGTCCATCCCAATTCCCCCAAAGTAAATTTATATTTTCTTAAAAGTCAAATTACATTTTTGTGTCCAGAGCTGATTCCTGTGTGTAGTTAATTTTAATATGAGGCCATTAAAACCATCTGATTAGCTACATTTTAATTAGGTATCAAAATTCCTACACAGTGAGAGAAATCAGGCATTCAGAATCCCTGACTTCACTTGATTTAAAGACTGTTTGGCATTAATCCTCAATGACCAACACAAACATCATTCCTCAAGAAATGAGTAATATTCACCATTATATCTCCTGAGGAAAACACAGCTTTGGGATTACTCTTAGAACCAGTTTAAGATACTCTTTGTTTTATGAACATTCCTTTAATTCATTAAGTAAAAATCTGCCCACAGCATAAGTGAACTCTAAGTGAAATCTACCTAATTAAGGTCACAAACACAAATTATCAGTCTCCTCAGTTTTCCAGTTTATTTCCCCAATAAATCACACCAGGGTTAAATAAACAATGCACAGGGTTAAATAAATAAATAGAGCTATTTGAAAGGCTTGCTATCTATAAAATGTCCACTGGTTTTTATGTATTGCTGTCCTATATCTAGTGAACTATCAAGGACTTTGACCAACTTTTCCCATACTGGTAATTAGGGTGATTGCATGTTTAGTCCTTTTGATCAACAACATATATTTCACAGGGCAAGGGTATAGGCCATGTCTTTGACAAAACAAACTGGCTTACATGGAAATGAACTCTAACCCTTACTTTATTTATGCTCTGAACTGAAAAGGCTTTTAAGAATTTTAGTAAAATTCAAAGTATTTAAATGATAAAGTCAAGGTAACTTTTTTTATTTTAAATCTGCAGTTCCCAAGGAAATATTTTATTTCTAATAATAAGTGAAATCTTATCATCAGACCACTCTTGGGATAGATAGATTGTAAGTTCCTTTAGGGCAAGGATCCCAATTTATTATACCTAACTGTGCTCATTAAACTCATTTTCACTGATGGCATAAAACCCAATATGTATAATTTATCATACCAAGTTTTTAAAAATATATATATCTTTATTAATTTTATAGAGAGGGAGGGAGAGAGAAAGAAATAGATAGAAACATCAATGATGAGAGTCATTGATCGGCTGCCTCCTGCACGCCCCCCACTGGAGATTGAGCCCCAAACCTGGGCATGTGCCTTGACCAGGAATCAAACTTCAACCTCCTGGTCAATGCTCAACTGTTGAGCCACGCTGGCCAGGCATATCATACCAACTTTTATTTGGATTCATTAGCTCTCAAGTGACCTCATAAAATTTAGAACTTTAAGGCCCTAAAGAAAAGCAATCACTTTTTTCAAAACCACCGTTTTTAGTCTCTCATCTTCTCTGTAACTAGCACAAAGCCACACTTTTCACAAAGTATGCTGCACAGTTCAAATCAGCAAAATTTTTTGAGGGCATACTCTATGTTTAGCACACTATTAGTGCTATACAGGATTAATAAGTCTTTTTCCCCTCAAGAAGTTTATGTCTGAAAATTCAGACCTGGTGTGTAAAAGAAATAATACAAAAGCAACATATAATCCAATGCTAAAGTGAGTTACATAGATTAAATGCCAAACTAATGAGATATTTTATGAATTTAATAAATTTATTTATAGAATTCATAAATGTCTTAGAAATTATACAGCTTTTCTGAATTTCTGCTTATATAGTGATTAGTCCTTTAAGAAAATCTACTCTGTAATGTCAATAGGAATGAAAATTAAAGTAATTTATTCCATAATATATAGAATTGTTAAAAACTGTCACCAAGAACCCAATATACTTCCTTCTAACAATTTTCTATATTAAAATTACCCATCTTCATTTTTCTGATTTGTGTCTGTCTTGTCTCCATTTATCAGAAGAAATTTTCTTTTCTTTTTGTTTGACAGAGTACATATCAGTGGTTTGGGTGTAATTTAAAATGTCCACATTGTGTGAGAAAAGAGGTTTAAATGGAATCAAAATATTGTATTATTTTCTGGGAATAAAAAACTTAAATTGTCTAATCTATCCTTTATGATGTATACAAAAATATACAAGCACAAAAGAATGAGTGTTTTAAAATCTTTGGAACTGCCTTATGTGTAACTATATAGCAGGTTATGCACAATAGTTACCTATAACTGAAAGATTATACACTCCACATGTACCACTGATTTAATTTTTTATTGAATGCAAAAAATAACTCAATTAATGCTATGCATTGTTTCATGCCATTCATTCAGATAGTGCCACTTGAATTTTTTAGGAACAACAAAAAACATAAGAAACTTCAAAAGTTTATTAACAAATAAACTCATGAAAATATTTTCAGTATATATAGCAACATGTAAAGTTTACTTACTTCAGCAATGTGTGCATTATACTCTATATTGTTTTGGTTCAAAGATGAAATAACTAGTGCTATTTTTAAGAGAATTTTCCTGGATTTGTGTTATAAACACTGTGAAGCAAAGTATGTTTTTATAGGTCGTGAGTTCATGCACAATATGTTTCTGGGATCACAGCCCAATAGAAAACATTGCTATTCACTAGGGACTAATATTTAATGGCAAAGGAAAAAAAATCAGGGATGGAGAGACTGAAGAAGGAAACAAGAATAAACAAAAGGATGACGGCAAAATGTAGAAAGTTCATGAGAAATTGGAAACAATATATTTGTGACAAAAAATATATTTGTTACATAGTTTCTAATATTTATAGTAAAAACTTATTTGATTTGCTGAAAAAAATAATTTTCTAATGTAGTAAACACCACATGTTAAGTATATTAAATGACATTTAGAATAAGGCTACAGAAACGATTTATTTTTCCTCTAATCTAAAGGCAGTCTAAAGTGGCCATACCTATTAAAATGTCTTATTTCGGGAAATTTATTGCAGAAATTCACACACTCTAAATCTACTTCAATAATTTCTTAATGTAATAGTCTCAATTCCAGATCTTTGACAAAAGAACTACTGTTCTGAAAAGTTTAGGCATACACATACCAGAAAGCAGTAGCTGAATCAATTAAGTTCTATAATTTGATATAAAGCTATAAAGGAATGATTTCACCCAAGAAAGAACCCAGTGTGAAAATATTAACTAAATGGTTGAGTTTCAAAGACAACGAATTCTGGATATTTTAAAGAATCCCAATAATACATTAAATTCCTTGGGTCCTCAATTAAAGTAAGAAACCCATTTCCAAACATATGTGCACAAGTACCTTAGCCTCTTCATGCCTGCTTGCCTGTCCCACAGTCAGAGAAGGCAGAATATTTGGTTAAACATATGTTTATGAATAAAGACAGGAAAATTCCAACTTTAAAACCAAATATTTTCCTTATTTAATTATGGTATCTTATTGGTCCATATGCTGCCTCCTCCTCACAGTATGGTACTCTCCGCACAGTATGCTACCAAAAACCTCCTAGATTTTGACTTTCTCTTAAAGCATAAGGATAGATAGCATCAAGCAGACAAACTGAGGAGTGGAAATACTGTATGAGAAAGAAGAGCAAAACTGATGATCAAAATACATACCGACACACTTGCTGAAGACATTAGGTGCTCCATAAATGCTTACTGAAATGCTGTTTTGTGACATTTGTTATGATAAATTCATCTTTCTCTAATTTAAGAATCCTCGTGAGTTAACCACAACCAGTTCAGTATAATTTAATAGAAAACATCTGGTGGCACTTTTAAATGCCTAAGGATAGCATTTCACAAACTACGCCTGCCTCCACAGCATTGCAGTAGCAGAAATCCGGCAAACACAGAGCAGCAGAGATGAGTATCAGGAGAGTTCTGATACATCACTTGATTATATCAGTTTGATCTTGCCCTAGGCCAGCCCCACTCTTCAATTATCTATAGAGAACCCAAACATTCCTTTTTTCTTTTTGGCTTAAGCTAGCTGGATTTCAGTTTCTATAATTTGCAACCAAGAAAATACTAATTATTTAGTGCCTGTCCAATACAAAAAAAAAAAAAATTTGTTTCTGCCTCCGTATGTTCATATGTAAATATCAAATTCCCATCAATAGCCTATTGCAGTAATTGCCCATGTGGCTGTGACTATCAGAGAAAGAAACATAAGTTGGAGAAATAACTTCGACCCTTCTTAGAGATTCATAATACAAATTATAAAAGACTCTGAGAAGTTATCCAGTAGAGAAATCTCTTGAACTCAGTTGAACTCACATTTACAAATCATATTGACCATAAAATCCTTTTTTTATGAAGTTATATCTTTTAGAACTACTAATTGGTAGACCACAGGTTGGAAAATGCTATACTTGGAAACATGGCCATGATCCCTTGGATGTAGCATCGGAAAAAGTATTCTTAACTGCTTCCTAATATATTTAAGATATACCACAAGAAGATCAAAGAACTCAAATTTGAAAGTAAAAGTATTTCATCTTCTAGATTAAAACTAACTTACCTGCATTGAAATAAGAATGAAGTCAATTAGGCTCCCAATTCCACAAAACCCTACAGTGCAAAACTTTAACAAACCTAGAAAAGAAAGTAAAATCATTTACAACCTGGAAAGTCTTATAAATATTAACAAACTTTTCCATTTCCCAATAAACCATTATATATACTACAAATTCTTTTTATCAAGAATATAAAACTAACACTTAAAATAATCAAATCTTCACCTAAAAATATGAGAAAAGTTTAAAGGTTCCTCTATATAGAAAAGCCACAACAAAAATAAATATTAGGAGCTGAAAGAAAAACTCAATGTGATCTTACAAAATTTCTTAAGAGAAAGGGCATAAAGAAATAAATCTTTAAATCTCAGTAAATCAAAGTTAGAGAACAACATTTAGTCCTAAAATCCTTATTTATTTATTTACTTAATACATTATATCTAAAGTTTAATATACACTTACAGTAGAAAGTCCAAATAAAGACTGACAAGGCACAGAAAATATAATCAGAAAAAAATGCTGATATTATAGTTAAATTAAAAAACTTAATTAGTAACCCAATTATCTTGAATTTATCCTATACTTTTTTTCTAAGTATCTCATGTTTATTAGCTCTATAGTCAAAATAACAATTCTGTACACTATATATACACCTCTGTTCTTGGTCCCAACCTTAGAGTTAAGGTTCTAAAATAGATGATAATAGAGCATATACAAGATATAACACAAAAACATGACGATGAAATCAGAAGAGGCAGATTGGGGGTGGGGGTGGGATGAGTAATCTCTCTTCTATATTTAAACTTGAGTTGCTTTCCAGACATTGCATTTGGGACATAAAAATGGTATGAAGCAAGACTCTTCGTGAAAGGGCAGTTCTAAGTATCAACTACATACAGATGCCAGTTAAAATCACAGAGTAGATGAGATCACCTCCTGCACAAAACTTGGAAACACAAAGAAGCCTGAAATACGTTAGATGATTTTGACCCTTCTTAGTATTACACATATAGCAGAATAGTGTTCTAAGTACTAGGATAATACATGTTGGAAATAATTCAAAAACTATTAAAATATAACAATTATATGAAATTATTCTCTTAGTCTTCTTCAAAACACCTACCTACCTAATATTTTATATCTGGTTACTGTCTTATGGAAGCCCTATTCGGGAAATGTCTTTTCTTTTTATTGGTTTTAGAGAGAGAGATAAAGGGAGAGAGTAAGAAAGAGAGAAACATCAATTTGTTGTTCCAATTATTTATTCATTTATTGGTTGATTCTTGTGTGCCCTGACCAGAGATCAAACCCTCAACCTTAGAGTATGGGGAAGACATTCTAACCAAATGAGCTACTGGGCCAGGGCTGGGAAGCATCTTTTATCTGTATTCACTCCTGTGTCTGTATAACCTACGACATTGTCTGGCACACGGTAAATGCTCAATATCTGTTGAATGAATGAATAAATTTTCTCACCTTTTCTGTTTCCTAAAGACTCCTAACTTTTTACCCATCATCTTATATAACAACTCCTTTAATTATTTTTTCATTAGTTGCATTTTATTACTGTTGCCCAAGGAACTTATTCACTCAGTCAGTATACTAACTCATTGTATTTCTGAAATGAATCCCACTTCACAAAGCATTTATAAATTTGGAAACATTTTCCTTCCTTCAATTTGTTTATTAAAAAAGTATTAAGAATGGTCCAAAAACAGTTTTTCTTTAATTATCTGCCACTATGAAGACTCTATAACCGTCAAACAGAGCCTTTGCCATTGTCATCCCCTCTTCCAAAGGACCTCTTCCTGTAGCTCTTCTCATCTCAGGATGCTTCTTTAGAGAAGTCTTCCTAATGTGCCCTTCTAGAGCAGCATGCCACCCTCCACCCCTCCCCAGCCCAAGCACTCTATCACATCTCCCCTATTTATTTCCCTCACAGTACTGTTTAGAAATCTTTAACGGCCTCATTCACTGGTTTGCTCATTCATTGTGCCTTCCATTGCCAGGTAAATTTCTAAAGGCAGGGTCTTATCTTATTCAAGTCGATTCCTTGAACAGTACCCAACAGACAGCAAGAGTTTGATAAATACTTTTATAACTATCAAAATACCAGATACAATCACAAAATGTCTAACAGGGAGGAATTGTCTCAAAAAATTCAGGTATACATCTAATGGGCAAAAATACTACACAACCGTTTAAAAAATATTCTTCTCTAAACAAAGATTTTAAGTCCATTAAAATCTAGACATTCTGCTGCTGAACCCCTTACGAGTGCTTCAAAATGAACAGAAGTTCCTGTTCAAATAAAATATTAGATAAGGAAATGTGTGTGTTAGGAACTTTGGTAAATGTGACCTACTCCTGGAGAACACATTGAAAGAAACTACAGAACAGATCCAAGATGATCTTTAAGCATTTAAGGAATCTGCAAACAAATCTATAGTGACAGAAAGCAAATGAGTACTTGCTTGGGAAAGAGCAGGATAAGGCGGGCCAAGAGGCAGGGATTACAGATGGGCACAAGGAAACTTTTGGGAGTGACATATATGGTCATTACCTTAATTATGGTGATTGTTTCACAGGTGTATACATATGTCTAACTTATCAAACTGTACATTTTAAATGTGCACTATACCTCAATTTATACCTTTAAAAAGATTTAAAGAAGTTGACTGTTTAAAAAAAAAATCAAAGTTTAAAATCATTACATTGATTTATATCCATTCTCACTCCAAATGTGTGATATTAATTAACTATGGTCCATCTATTTCTCAAAATTTAAGGTAAACGATGACTTAACTAATGAAGTTGCTAATGCTATCTTAAATTTGTTTTAGCTTTCAAACATAAAAATACTTTATAAAAATAAGATAGGAAGGATACTAAGGATTAAAAAAAATGAGACAAAGAAAAAATTAGGATAGTACATGGCACATGGAAAACATTCGATAAATGTTAGCCTAGCTGCTACTTGTGTTACCACTATTTCTACTACTACTATAATTATTATTATAATCAAGAAATTTAGATAGCATAAATCTACATTCTTTATAGTTGCATCATCTAACCTAGTCTCATCTCTTGCAAATTCCTTCTGCCTGTGTTACAGTTCAACAAACTAACCAAAGTTCTTACTGTGTGTGCCCTGCTCTTGTATCTCCGTCATCTATCTCTGCATTTACGTGTGGTACACTGTTCTCTGCCTTGCCTCCTCCTTTTCCCGCCCCCCACTTATCCCAATCATCTAGCTGACCCCTAATAGTATTCTAAAATATCGAGAAAGTCTTCTCTAACGCCCCCGGGATGAATTTAGTGGCATTCCTAGACATTCCTCAGGACTTTTGAGTTGCAGCACAGCACATATCCCACGGTACGATTTATTATGTATTTATTTGTCTGTCTTTCCCTACACCTCTGTGAGCAACTTGAAACCAGGGCTATGCCATTCCCATGCCCAGTCAATGTGACTACTGAAGGAACAAACTGTATCAATGAATTATGTTATTTGTAAATAAACACTGATCAACTTGAACAAAAAGTATCATATATTCTAAACAGCATTTATTAAAACCAATACAAACTATTACTCTTATAGATTTCATTATTTTGAGCATCAGTACCAGTTTTTTAAAAGATGGGATATTTGTCAACTACCAAAAGTAGATTGACTTATTTTTCCCCCCAAATAAACAGTTTTCTTTGTACAAACTCTACTTACTAACTTTTTATTGTGGAAAGAAATACCAGCTTTAGACTTTAAAAATTGTTTTAAAACTCCAAATAAAAGTGTTTCCAATAAAGAAGAACTCATTTTTTTTCCTGAACCAGTATGACTATAGACATGTTCTTTCAAAAAGATTATGCTACCAGATGACATTAATAAAGCTTGTTTTGAGTGTACTTTATTTATACTTTAGTAACTTAAACTTTACATTTTAGAAACACAAATTCAATAATAGGATTTACCGGGATATAAAATAAAAAGAACAGATTAATCTGGGTTATTTTTAATTTTTTTGGTATTTTTTTGTTTTATTATAGGTTGAGCCTTGCAAATACTCTTCTGTCTGCATAACTGTTTTAGAAAATACAAATTACTTCATATTGAAGCTGTGGTGCCAACCTGCAAGTGTTCTGTAATGATTTGGTTATTATCATTTTTTTTGCACCTGTACCTATAAAGGAAAGCTTTCAAAAGTCTTAGAAAAGTTTAATCTACAAATCTCTTTATTTGTCCTATGATATGTGGATATTATATACCAATCCAAACTGGTGACTTCAAACTTAAAGAAAAAAAGAGGAATAATATAACCAAAGATTTTTAAGATATGGGCTTAAAAACATACAACACTTAGTTATTCTAATAACGACAACATTTTCGTTTTAAAATGAATACCACTATGCAAAGAGCATCTCTCCTATAACTGCTTCAAAAGAGCTATCATCTTTGAGTATCTATAATCTTTTAATGCTAAGACGGGCAAAACAAAATATGCTAGTTCTTTCAGATAAAAGAAGTCACAAATGTTACAACAAAAACACAGAGACAGAATATTATTTAAAAAAATAAAACTTTGTCATGAAAAAAAAGGCTTCTAGCTAAAGCAGCACTGGTATACTGAGGAATAAACCAATTAAAAGAAATAAAGCTGGTTTGATGTAAAGTACAGCATAGTATAGTCAACAATGTTGTAATAACTATGTATGGTGCCAGGTAGGTACTGGAATATCATATGGGAAGAGGGGAGGGATACTTTGTAAAGTTTATAATTGTCTAACTACTATGCTGTGTACCTGAAAGTAATATGAAATAATATTAAATTTAAACTGCAACTAATATTTTTTTAATTAAAAGAAAAAGAAATAAAGCTATACATCATCCAAAAGAAACAAAATCTTCAAATTTACTCATCTGAATTTTTATTCTTTAACAATACACAGTCATAGCTGTGGGCTAATGAGAAATTTGAAATATCTAGAAAAAAAAATTTTCTTAAAGGAATTTTTAGATTTTATCAAATTTTTTTCAATCTCACCTGCCAACAAATTTTCCTTCTTCAATCCTGAAGTAAAATTTATAAAGTGAAGTATCACATTCAGCACTAAATTACTTTTAAAAAGCAAGTTTCATATTTGCATGATTTACATGATTTATTCTGTTCTTATAAAACTCCAATGATCATAAACAAAATAAGTATTTTAAAAAGCTACCTATAAATACAACCACTGCTTTTTGTAACCATAAAGAAAGATTAACTTAAATGGAAGTAAACATCTAAATTGAAAGTATTAAAATTCCTTAACCTTGGATTCATGGTAAACATGAAAATTTACCTAAAAACATTTAAATTTTTAAAATTTACAAACGTTTTGACAGATTAGTTGATAAAACATATCAAAATCTTTAACATTAAGATAGTTAAATGCAAGGAAGATACAGATAAAAATACTTGAATGCTTAGGCAGATTTTCACTCTCATTCCAAAATCCCACTAAAAAAATGGCAAAGGGATTTTTAGAATCACAAACTCAATACAACAAAGATAATGGAAGATAAGGCAATAGCAACAAAAATTCAGGAGCTGTAAGACAGACTTAATCTTGAGAAAGCTGTATCTTAAACCAAAGTCAAAATGTTTGTTGACTTAATGAACATCCAAAGGTGGTTGTGATAATAAAGGAAATTATTTAAAGATTTTTTTTTTAAAGCCTTTATACTGAGGCATAAAGTTAAATGTAAAAAATTATATTTGCAAGTTTATGGAATCTCTGACTCAAAGGGTCTGTTTGACTGAAGCCAATAACAGATTGGAGTAGCAGTGGCCAGAGAAAGGCAACTCCTGGCAATGTCAGTGAACTAACCATTCACTAACCAAGGCTACTATACAGAATTTTATACAGAGCTTTATACCTAGAGTTTGACTGTACATAGAAAAAATTTCACAATGTACATATCAACATATTTTTATGTGCTGCAATAAAATAAAAAACATTAACTTACACTACAGGACATGACAGCTCATCAGACACACATTACATGAAACTAAAAAGTTACTCATTAACCCAAATACTTAAAATACATTCACTGTGCAAAATTATCACAATAAACTGTCCTAAAGAACAGTGTTTTCTCCTTCCTCCTAACCTTTTTAAAACTTTTTTAAAATTAGAAATGTTTCCAAAAATATATATATGATCCTATCCTCTTAAAGAGAACATAAAGAGAATGCAAGGACTAAGGCAGAGGATTTGGCTGTATTCTAACCATCTGATATCACCATTCCATTTTACTTTCTCATTATAAACCTAGTTTCTCCAGCTAACCATGCATCCTTCCATCCATCCATAATTAAAAAGAGTATGACAGACTAAATGTTTTTATCCTGGCAACTCAGAGGCCTTCGTGCATATTATATGGTTTTCTGCTATGTTATAAAGAGACATGGTTGCTGATATACATGTCATGAATGTGCCGTTACACCATCACCAGGCCAGGACTACTGCATCGATCTCTTTTCAGCTTACTCTGCCACCAGTCTTTCTCTGTCTAAGCTATTTCCCACAGTTCCTCCAGTATCATCTTCCTGAAATAACCATGATACTCATCTGATTAAAAACTTTTAGGGCTTCCGACATTAAAGAGTAAGGTCCAAACTCCCTAAGAAGAACTCAAAGCCTTTCATAATCTGACCACAGGCTACCTCTGCAGCCACTTTTCACCTCCTGCCATCATTCTTTCCACACCACAGGTTAAAGTATCCACCATTCTTTCAACATGCACACAAGCACCTTCACACCCTGTTTGCCTTTGACATGCTATTCCCTGTAATGCCCTAAACCTCTGTAACCTGTTTATCCTTCAAAACATAGTTCAAATGTCACCTCATCTAAGAAGTCCTCCCTCACACTCCAAGGACTACTCAACCAGGACCCCTGTGCTCTCATAGCACTTTGTTATGGTTCTGTAATAGCGCTGTATCATACATTGACCTACCAACATATTTATTTTCTTTTTAACCAATATGAACTGTGATCATCATTATTTCCAGAGCACTTACTTACTTAATAGGTAGTAAACGATGAATAAGTGTTAACTGAATAAATTCATGTATACAGTATTTTAAACTTTGACTTCTATTTATGATCTTGTAACACTGAACTCCAGGTAAGGCTGTCAGGAACATATTTCCCACCAACCCCACAGTAGAGATTCCTCTTTGATCTCTTGTGGGTAGCAACACAGAAAGAATAAGATTAGCTTTGCTAGCTGGAAAGCAGAGCATTTAGAAACTTTAAATTTGCTTGGTGAAGGGCTAATGTAGAAACGGAGTACTACAGTAAATACAGCATGATCTCTTGAGCCAGAAAATTGGAGTTCAAATTCAGGTCACTAACTGAGTGTCCTTGGGTAAATCTCTTAATCTCATGACAATTTCCCTATCCATAAAACAAGAATGATAACAACAAATATGTCACAGAATAAAGCAAGACCTCTAGAGTCAGTAAATCCCTTAACCTCCCTGGTGACAATTTCCCTACCTGTTAAAGAAGATTTAAAGAGGATGATAAACTCAGACAGTTGCAAGGCTTAAATAAGGGCCTGCATGTGAAAGTACTACTTAAACAAAAGCTATTGTCAAATGAAAATAGTTTGCATAAGCTTTAGTAGCTATGGTAAATGTGAAGATTCCAGTGAGGAGGAAAGTATGGGGAGGGCTGCTAAGAGTAATAAAGGTCAGGCTCCACACCACCTTATGCTGGCTGCTGTAGTTCTCTAACTCCAACTTCTCCTGAAAGTAGTAGTTTCTATTCCGAAGCCAACAGTGAGGGAGATCCAGGTAGAAGAAAATATTTTGGGGAGAGATAGGGTGAGAGATGTTTTTATTCATAAAATATTTATCAAGCACCCACTGTGTGCCCAGCACTAGCAATGACAGCTCAGGTCCACTGTCCTCAATAAGTGACTATACTATCTTGAGTATGTATTCTCATAAAGATGAAAACACGGGGAAAGTCAGTATTTCTTATCTGAGCTGAAGTGTAGAGCTAACTATTAGCTCTATACTCATAGAAGAACGTTAACTATTCCACTTAAGGTACATGGAACTTGTAACTATTAATAGTATTCAGAGATTTCATCTATAAGAATAGGTACACTTACCTACAACACAAGTTTCACAAGGGTTTTTTTAATGAAACATACTCACCCAAGGCAGGGTAGCCAAGGTAAAATCGATCTGCTCCCAACCATCCAAGAAAAAGAGACAGTGCAACAGCCACTTTATATGAATAGCCATTTCTGCATAAAATTAGAACCTGAGTGTCACCTTCATATATTTCCAACATGTAACATTTTAGAAAACAAAATTACTAATTATTATTTATTTGTTAATTGGTTCATTCATTCATTTACTCATTCAATTAATGCTTTTTGGTATGCCAGGCACTATTCTAGGCTATTGGAATATTTAATGAACAAAAAAGGGAAAGATCCCTGTCCCTAAAGAGCACGCAATAAACATATTCAAAAAGTAAATCGTATATTAAGAAAGCCATGAAATTGCCATGTGAGTACAGAAAGATAAAAGAGATTCACAGACTGAGTCATGAGATATTCTGATATTAAGAGATCAAGAAAAGGAGAAAGCAGAAGACTGAAAAGTAGCTGTTTAACAGTGAGGAAGAAGTGTAACTATAAGAGTGTGGTATCCTGGAAGTCAAATAAAGGCAATGTATTGAGGAGAACAGAGTGATCAAATGTGCCATTGTGACTGACGGGTCACGTAAGATAATGGCTGAGAATTTGCCAGTAAATTTAACCAAGAGGAGATCATTAGTGACCTCAGCAAGGACAATTCTGGTAACATAATGAGGGCAAAAGACAGAGCAGAGCAGGCTTAAGAAAGATTGGAAGGAAAAATATTAAAAAAAAGAAGTACTAGACAACTCTTTTGAGGAGTTTTGCTGCAAAGGGGAGTAAAGAAATGAGAGGTAGCTGGAGTTATTTTAAAGTCAAATTTGATGTCAGTCTCCTACTTACAATCCTATGTGTTTTGCATCGCACTTATAATTAGGACATTTTCGTGGAGTTGGGGAGATGGTAAATGGCCTAGAGATTCTATTATGCATCTAATATTACAAAGATGCCAAATTTTACGCTGGGGGCAGTGGTGCCCCATCTACGTTGGAATGAAGCACCAGACTAGAAGTAGAGAAGTATATTAGGAGGCTTTCTAGAAACTCAAGCTATAACCTATTGGACAGTAGCAGTGGAAGAGAAAAGTGTACAAAATTGGGAAACATTAAGAAGGAAGAAATAATCAAACTAAACGTGGGGAATGAGGGAAAAGGAGAAGTGGAGAATGACTCCAAAGTTTCTGCTTAAGAAACTAGGTAGCACAGGTGCCATTCACTAAGACCAAGGAGGAAATGAAGGAAAAGATGATAGATTCAGTTTGGAACCTTAATGTATAGAAAGATGGCAAGAGAAGTCAAAGGAGTGGATGAATGAAAAACAGAAAAGGACCATAGATATTATCTGAGGATATCAGGATTAAAAAAAGAAGCACAGGAATCAAAGGAAACAAAAGAGTGTTTTATACTAGAAGTTAAAGAAAGTATTTCAAAAGAAGGGAGTGCCAAATGCTATAGAAAGATTAAGATATGAACTATAAATATACATACAATACAGCAACAAAGGTCGCTGATGAATTTTGGCATGGCCAAAAGCCATACTGCATTACACAGAAAAGTTCATAAAAGAGAAAAAAGAAACAAGCCTTTTAAAAACCCTGGCTGGTGCCCAGCCAGGCGTGGCTCAGTGGTAGAGCATCAACCTAGGATCCAAGAGATCACAGTTCAATTCTCAGTCAGGGCACATGGCCGGGTTGCAGGCTCAATCCCCAGTTGGGGGCATGCAGGAGGCAGCCGATCAATAAGGACTCTCTCATCATTGATCTTTCTATCTCTCTCCCTCTCCCTAAAATCAATAAAGATATATTTAAAAACAAAACAAAACAAAAAAACCCTGGCTGGGAAGGGAAATGAAATTAGAAAAGCAATTATCTATATAAATAAGTCACCATAAAGAATAATCTGAAAACTGGTGGTGTAGTAGAGAATGTCTAACTATTCAACAAACCATTTCTCTTTTTCTCATGGAAATATAGCTAAACTACATAATCTAGCCCACCTTGCAGTTAAGTGCAGCCATAACTGAGTTTTGTCCAATGAAACTCAATTATGGACAGAAGTGATGTATGCCATTTCCAGGTCTGGCCCATAAAACACTCCTAAAAGGACTCTAAGGACTAGATAGAGGAAGCAAAGCCATAAGATGAAAGGAGCAAGGCCCCTGCATGACTGCATGGAGCAACCCTCACTCCCTCACCTCACCCAGACCTCCAAGTCAACACAAATTGGACTATGATATGAGTGAGAAATAACTTTTGTTAGCCTGCTCCAACAAATATAAATAGGTTTGTGGCTCGGCAATCAATCAGACATGGTTACTAGACTTCAGCTGCTGGAGAATACATTATATAATGGCTACATCTGCAATATTAAGATGGAGTTTTAATCAAGTGTCAATATTATATACAGAAGAAAAACATGTAAACTGGAAAAGGGACACTCAAAGAATAAGAATTTATCAGTAGCTGACCAGCAGCTGGCTCTTTGATAGGCATGTGTTGAATATCCTGATAAAGAAAAATGATATATCAGGTTATCTTAATTTTATGACCTTATTAGAATTATCCATCAATCTAACTCCTGTTGTTTTGATTCAATGCTCATCAAGCAAATTCTATTTTAGACCTGTAGAATTTACTATAGAATGGGGAATAAGGTGGCCAGGAGACTTGGAATATTTGGTTTCCTTAATAGTTATAATTCTTATCATAATTGACATCACTGTCTTGTGAGCATTAGTGCAGCTCAGTCACATTGAGCCTAATCTACCCAAAGACACTGAAAAGAAAAATCAGAGTTAACTTGGAAATTAATGAATAGATCACTGTGGTGTTACCAATACAGGTAATTTGAACTCGTAAGGTCCAACCTGAGTGGCTAGCTCTTCTAAACAGATGATATTCTTAGTTATTTTATTATAGCCTATAATATCTTAGACCAGCACTTAATAAATTATCAACTGGAGTGTTTAAGGTAGAAATATCAATCTATAAATTTCAAAATTGACTAAACCATATCTAAATACTTTAGAATAATTCCTTTTAACAATTTTTACTTTACTAATGAGAACTCTTACCACCTAAGAATCCTAAGAGATTGGCTTAGGATTACACAGCAAGATAGAATCTAAAGCCCCTCATTAATTCAATGAAATAGGATCAAAAGGGAAAAAAAAAAAAGGTTCTACTAGTAATTTCTAAGAATTCTAATAGAACTTATAAAGCCAAACAGTGGTTATTTCTTGATATAACTTCAAATAGGTATCATCAAATAACTGCAACAATGTACAGTTAAAAGGTAAAAGATAGTGCCAACAATAAAAGTGGGTAAAACTAAGTTTTTAGTACAAAACAGAAATAAAAGAATAAAATGTTAGCTTTACTGTAGCAAAATTAAAAGCAAACTTAAAAGTCCTTTAAACAAACAATATTCCTAATAAAATAAAGCCTTTTGTCTTAATATCCCAAACTAACTTTTGAGTTGTTTTACATTACTATTCATCATCCATACCTATTACAAAAAATGAAACCAAGTTTCAAAATGCCCTTAATATGCGAACAATTTAATAGTTAGCATTCTTTTAATACTACAGGTACATAATCCTTTATTTGAACTCTAGAAATCCCCCAAATTTTGAAAACAGAATTTTTTTCCTAACTCATTTGAGTAGCCTAAGTGACTGAACTGACGTGGTGTGAGGCCATTCAGTCTTTGTTTATCCCAAATAGTGAACTATAGAGCTTTACTTGGTTGGTAAACTACATTTATAAAACAATATGCACACGTAAAGTAGAGGTTTTCTGATACAAGCAAAAAGTTAAATTAGGGCACAATTTTCCCCATAAATTAACTCTATCTCTTCACTCCATGCAACCAAGATACAACATAGGCAAGTAATCTGAAAATTTAGCTTCAGTAAAGTACTTACACGTTTCGGCAAGATATGGGCTTGAGAAAACCAACTTCGTTTCCAGTAAAATTTGTTTCATTGCCACCAAAATCCTTACAAGTTATGTTGGGTGCTGGAAAACATGGAACTAAAAGCAGAAAAAGGCAAGAAACCATTTTTTTCCTGTAGAAGAGGTATGTAATTATGTTGCTGCTTTTTAAGACTAGCAAAGCCTGCAAGAGAATATAACATGTAACAAACCACCTCCCAATATAACACCTGACATGAGGTTTTAATTTAAATAGGAAAAGTTACATTACAGACTGACAGACAGACAGACAGACAGACAATCAGCCCTGCCCAGTGTGGCTCGGTTGGTGGCTCGATTGGTTGGAGCATCGACCCAAGCACTGAGGGCCTGTCTCAGGTTCGATTTCCAGTCACGGCACATGCCCTGGTTGTGCCGTGACTGGAAACATTATTTTAGAATAGATGATCCCCAAAACCATTAGGGTAAGGGTTTGTTATCCATTATCAAAACATCTCTAAGAAAATACTGATACAAAAAAGAGAAAATACTGATGTATATTTAAAATCCTTACTGTACTGTTTTCATACTTAGGATATTAAGTATATTTTACAAGTGCATAATATGGGTGATATAGCTGCTCACCGTACCTTATTGGACTAACAGTCTCATTTCAAGTTCTTTACAAGTAATTAAAAATCTAACTAAAGAAGCACCTTTGCATAACACAGCTTGGTTAATAAAGGGCATCAAGACAGCTATAAAAACTGATTCCAAGGATTTAAAAAAAATTAATGAAACCATAAAGCTTCCCAGTTTATATAACTAAAGAGAATAAGATTCTTTTTTAAATTCTCTAGCCAGTTCTCCAATATTAAGTTGTTCTGGAAACTGAATGATGTTATAACTCAAGAAAACAAACACATTAATTACTTTTAGTCATCATACATCGATCTATGAAATAATGTTTTAAAAATTATTTTTAAAGACATTTCTGCAAGTCTTACCATGAGCTGTGTAGTTTGTACAGTTAACTGGTTCTTGTGTAGCATCATTTATTTTTGGATCTTTACAAATATATTTAAGAAAAGTTAAGGAAATGTAAACTCTATTCCAACACAAAACATTACCATCTGTTAATATCTTATATATACTCCTGTTTATACTCACATGTAAAGAGAGGCTGTTAATTTGTCCAGGTCAAAAAAACAAGCACAAACATATATACTATCAGTGTCACTAAATAATACCTGAACATTAATTTATTACAGGAAAAGTGTATTAATATATACTAAAAGCACTAGCAAAGAATGCCGTCTTTAAAGAGCTTCCATTAGGGTTTAAGCACAAAGCAAAAGAAAAAACAGAAATAAAAATCTTTACCAAATTATTGTGAAAGAGCTTTAGGGTTAAAAAAAAATAAAATAAATAAAAAAATCTGTTTCCAGAGAATTGACTGAACTAATTTTGGGGGCCCCAAGTATTGCCTTATACGTCATTTCATGCAACATGAAAACCCTGTGAGATACTCTTATTCTCACATTATAGAAGCACAAACTGAGGCTTCAAGTTTGAGTGACTTATCCAAGGCCATGTAAGTGATAGGTTGTAAAATCAGGCTTCCTGATTCCAAGCCTAGGGGACTGTCCATCAGAGTACAAAAAAGATGGTGTTTTAGGTGGGTCTACATGGTCTCCCAACAGGATTTTAAGCCTTTGGAAACATATAATAATTATATTCTTATAGATGTTCAAAACACTTGGGTGCTTTTCTGTTTCCTAAATATTCTATTGGCACTACAATGATTTAAGTAAGGTATTCGTAAGATGTCTCTGCGTTAAGGTTTTTGAATCAGTGTTGGAAACCTCATTTTTATGCCAGGAGTAACAGATATTTTCCAGTTATCATCACCTCATTGTCCTATATGCTCAGGCACTTCTCTCTCGAATACAAAAAGCACAACTCTTCATATTGCCCAATTATTTTCTTGGAGAGAACCACCCTGACACTTTTGCCAAGAAAAGAACTCCACTTACTAGGTTAGTGATTCTCAAACTCCAAGCAAAATGGTATTCAGCAAATATGAGCTATTCAGTAAAAAACAAATAACCATGGCCTCTCAACTCATACTACCACTACAGGATAGAATGTTCTTAATTTTAAGACTTTTCTCTCATAGAATCTTTCTTATATCTCTGGCTTCTGTTATTAATTTTTCTGTTACACAATTTGTATGAAACTGATTTTGTACAAAAGTAGCTATTTTAATTTGAATGCAACTCCCATTTCATACTGTTCCTCAGTTTACCAGAACTGTTACAATGGACAGATCCACTCAACCCCTTGAGCCTTAGTTTTCTCTTCTGTAAATAGTTGACATATACAGTCCCTACTACGTGCCAGCCATTATTCTAAGTGATTTTCCTGTAGTACTAATTTGTCACAACAATTAGACGTTTAAGTTGGTTCCACTGTTATCTATATTTTTAATCACTGAGAAAACAGAGTTCAAATAATTTGTCCACAGGTACAGAGTGGAGCCCCCTGACAGTCTGACATCTCACGGAGTTTGAGAATTATAAAAGGTAAGCCATGTAAACTTAAATGATAAACAGGCAACACACACTGCCTTTATTTTTATTAACTACTATGTCTCGCTCCAAGGCCGAGAAGTTCCAGGGTAGAGCCTGTCAATCTTTTTACTACTGTGCCTGGAACAGGGCCTTGCACACTTCAGGATGTAGGTGTTTGTTGAACAACCCAACCTCCCCCCCAACCCCAGGCCCAGTAACAAAAAAAATCGGTGGATCAGAAGAAAAAGCGCCAACAATCGTAAAACCCCAAGGAAATCACACAGGGTGGCCTGTTTTTCCCACCCCTCATCTCTCTTCACCTCCCAGGATCCCTCGGTCATTAGAGCCCACGGGTCACCACCGTTCCTTTCACTCCAACGCTCGCTCGCGACCCACTCGGGACCCCAAATCTACCTCTCCCCCAGGGGGCAGCTTCTCACAGAGGATATTGTCCCACTTTGAGGTCCTCGCACTTAAACGTCTCCTCGCCCCCGGCGGCGGCAGCTCCCCAGGGTCCCGTGGTGACTGACACGAACCACAGGACACCCAGGAGCTGGACAGCCACGGTCTCGGGAACAGCCGGCCCGGAGGCCCAGGCGGCCGCCATGCTGGGGACCGGCGCGTCCCTGAGACTTCCGGTTCCGCCTCCGCCCAGGAGCGGGCGGGAGAGGGCGGAGCGAGGGAGGCTCTTAAAGGGACCTAGCTTTGGCTGCGCGCAGGTTCTTCTTCCCCGTCCGCCAGCCGGGTCGCCTGGGGGAACGGAGGTTGGATTTCCACCTGGGAAAAAGGAGGAGGCTGGCCCTGCGGCCGCCCCACTGCTCACCCCCGAGCCGACCGTGCTGTGGCTTTTCCGTCCGCGGAAGTGCCGGCGCGCCGGGCGCTTTGATAAACGCCTTACAAACATCATCTCCGTTAGTCCCGGCAGGATTGGGGTGTGCAGATGACGAACCCGGCGCAAAGACTCCTAACGAACACGTTGACTTTATGACCGATTGGAGTGAAAGGGATGTTAGTCCCATTTCAGAATCTGTGCTCTTACTGTTACGATACAGCGGCCTCCCGGTTGTTGAGGGGATTTGCGGAGGGGCCCCGGGAGCCGCCCCTCAGGCCGCAGCGTCGCCCGTTCCCGGGAGCGGTCGGCGGGCGCAGGCCCGTCCCAGGGAGCAGACCCGCCTTCGCCTAGGCCGAGCGGAAAGTCGGCGTTGTTTTTAATTTTAGGAAGATTTTATTTTTTACTTAATTCTGAAGTCTGCATGACATCACTACAGTATTTTAAAAAGCCGTTTTGTTTATCATTGTTTTCATTTACGATGTTTGTATGTTACCTCAGAACCGCTCCCCGGCGACGCCGCTGAAACCGGCCTCCAGCCGGCAGGGCCCTGCCCGCGTCCTCTGAGGGCCGATCTGCAGCAGAAAAGTAGCATCGTTATACCCCCAGAGAGCCCTAAGAGGTTAGAACTGGATCACGGTGGTTTCATCAAGTAAATGGGCATGACTGGTAACACGCACATTGTAGGTGTCCCTGTTCTGTGTGATCTGATGGCCCCAGAGGCGAGGTGGCCGTGCGATTCACCAGGTGTTGCGAACAATGTCGATTCTTGGGCCCCATCCCTAGAGGCTCTGATTTCCGGTTCAACGCAAGGGAGCCACTCTCCTAATGTAATTTCTTTACTTGCAGATGAGTTATTGGTTACACGGACACAGGCAATGGTCTGAAGATGGGAATTGACCTTTGGCCTCTCAGTGAGCTGGTTGTAAGGAGACAAGCTGAAAGCAGCGGGAAAGTTGGAGGGTTCCCCCTCCCCGCTCTCGTTTCTAAATTTTTATACTAAAAGTTCTGTAGTAGGGAAATCTTTTATACTGACCAAATGAGTATTTTTTTTAAGTGAAAGTTTAATCCTTTTGCCCCTAATGTAAAAGCATTTGGGTCTGAATGGTGCCTCTTCATCCACAGTAACACTGGTTTTGAAGAATTGTATTACACAGTGATGCCCAAACTTTAGGGAGCATCAGAATCGCCAGGAGGATTGGTTAAAACACAGAAGGAGCCCGGCGGGGCCTGGCTCAGCAGTTGAGCATCGACCTAGGATCCAGGCGATCAGGGTTCGATTCCCGGTCAGGGCACATGCTGGGGCTGGGGGCTAGGCAGCCAATGAATAACTCTCTCATCATTGATGTTTCTCTCTCTCTCTCTCCCCCTCCTTTCCTCTCTCTGAAATCAATAAAGATATATTTAAAAAGATAAAAAATTTAAAAAACACACACAGAAGGAGCCCTGGCCAGTGTGGTTCAGTGGGTTGGGCATCAACCTGTGCAGGGAAAGGCTGGCTGATTTTATTCCACTCAGGGCACATGCCCAAGTTTCAGGTGCCATCCCCAGTAGGGGGCCTGCAGGAGGCAGCCAATAAATGTTTCACTCTCACATCAATGTTTCTCTCTCTCAAAACCAATAAAAAATCTTTATAAAAAACCAGGATGGGCCCCACAAGCAGAGTTTCTGAATCTGAAGATCTAGGGTAAGGCAGGATAATTTGCATTTCTAATGAGTTCCCAAATGACGCTGATATTGCTGATTCCGAGACCACACTTTGAGAACCCGGGATAATGTGGGATAATGTACTATATTATGAGAAGTGTCATTTTGGAATAAGAGGGCATAAAATTATTTCAGTAATATTTTAGTATTATAACTATTTTTAAATTTTTTCTTAAACCAATTTTACAGCATAACTGTACTATTTTTTAAAAAATATCTTTCCTTGGCCCTGCGTCCTCCAGGCAAATGCCACCTATAATAAGCCCTCCTTTCTCTTTAGCCAATAGACTGCTCGATAATTATGATACATTATTTCTAATTTAGTTCTCAAAGCTTTATTTGAAATATAAGCATGTACATTGGCTTTCAGTTATGTTTTCATAAAGAATAGGTGGTCACTTGTGCGTGGGCAACCAAGCACAATATCTGGCCCTTCTCAATAAGAGGACTGTATCCACTTACTCTGTAGAACAGGGAGCCCCAGTGGCTGTCTCAGTGATGGCTACTTCTCTGGCACCCACTAAGATCCAGTCACAAAAGTATCACCTTCTCTATGGCTCGATGAGAAAAGCTGTTTTCCTAGAAAAGCTGTTTTTTTTCATGGGCTGTGGAATACCACCAGTATCCTCCCCCTTTCTTCCCCACCAAGGTCAGGGAAGACAGGAGGCAGCATTTTTGTACATTTACATGCCCACCTTGTAAGTCCGTGTCTCTCCAGGGACCCACAGGTTTAGAGGAAAAAGAAGCAACTTCTAGTTCTACTCCTGAGCCTAGAAAACACCTTCTTATGTAGATGGCTATTTTTAAGTTAAAACATTTATGTTTAAAGGTTTAAATGATAGGAAATTTAAAATTTACTAGTTCAATTTTTAAACTTAAAAAGTGTTATGTATAGTCAAGCTAAGATTAGATTGGATAACTAAGACACTTGCATGATTTTTATGGGTGTATTTGTGAACTCTCACCATCTCTCTTAAATCTTTTGTCATTTGCAGGCAGTTATCATTTTACTCTAATGCTTTTGCAAAAGTATTTCTGCAAAGATGTTTTACCTTCAGAGAAATTCATGGAAAGGACTCTGACACTTTAAAATAGAGGGTTATAAACTTTCAGTTCATACCATTAAACTGGGTGAAGATTTGCAGAATTCTCAAAAAAATGGATTCATAAAACTGCTAACAATAAGTTCAAGATCAACAAGAATTAATAACATGGGACTGAGTGAAGAAGTGAGAATGATTATAATTTTATGAAATATTTGAAATATTACTATTTTTTATCTGTTTTCTAAATATAAGGGTTTTTTTTCCCTAAGCTACCTATGACCTATAACAATTTGGAAAATTATACCTTTGTAAGCAGAATTGAAACATTTACGTTCCCCTCAAGAATTTAGAAACTTATTATAATCTACACCTTCATCCCCCCCCTTACTTTAAGTTCCTTCCTATCTCACAATTAGTGTAAGAGGCCAAGCACTTACTGTAATAGTTATTGTTTCATTTTTCCCCTTAATTTCTGCCTGGAAAGATAACTCAACATTGGGCATCATCTTCAAACCTACTTCACAGGTCAAAATGCGCAACTGGCCCGGCAGGGCGGGGCTCAGCCGCTGAGCGTCGGCCTGGGATCCATTCCACCAGAGTTCGATTCCCGGTCAGGGCACATGCCTGGGTTGTGGGCTCGATCAATGACTCTCTCATCATTGATGTTTCTGTTTCTCTCTCTCCCTCTCCTTTCCTCTCTCTGAAATCAATAAAGATATATTTTTTTTTAAAATGCGCAACTGGTTGCACATAGAGTCAAGGACCTTCAATGCCTAGTGATGACAACCCCAATAAAGGTACCAGATGTGAAAAAATGCTTTTTCTTTAAGCAGGTATTTCAACGAATAAGTACTTGATCAAAAACCTTAGAGAACATTTCTGGAGCTACCACCAAAGCAATAGCCAACCAAGAAAAATCTTTAAATTCCCTTGTGCAAATTATATCAGACAATAGGATTGCTCTTGACCACATCCTAGCCAAACAAACTGAGGTTTGCTCTGTTGTTAATACCTCTTGTACTTAGATAAAACACCTCTGGTAAAATAGAGATGAAACTAGATAAAATCTGGGCACAAGCCAAATGATTAAATACATTGCCCACTGATACCTCATGGTTGTCTAATATCTTCAGCTGACTGCCCTCAGGTATTGCCTCCTGCCTGACTCAGATCTATTCTTCAAATTGGACTTAACATTTTGTTTGTTATTACAGGAATTTTGCTGTTAGGAAACTTTGTTTATTTTACATAGCTCAATGTTATAAAGATACCACTCTGATAATTGTTGCTTAACGTTTTGAGATGATCACTAAGGATTATGAGACTTCATAAGAAAATGCTTTCACTCCTTTGTGGGACAGACATAATAGGAATGCACCTTCTCCACAACGGAGTACCAACAATGTTTTTAATAACTGACCAGTGTTGCTTTCCAATGATTTGATCAGCGATGCTTTCAAGGAAAGATCTCAATCAAAAGGGGGAAATATAAAATATAATATAAAGGAAGCCACTTTAAAATGGAGCCAGAGTTGCCATCCAGAGGAACTGCCTTACGTGTCTCACTCTTCAAAACTTTGGAATGTTAAACCTGGATTGAGCCTAAAGCAGCATTGCATCCCAAACAACTGTTTGCAAAGATAAGAAAGCAGATATTATGACTACTGGACTGCAAATTAAAAACATTCGTCAGAATAACATCACTATGTTAGCTTGTCTTCACCTATAAAAATCCTTTCTTTCTAGTGACATAATTGTTCCTCTTTCCTTTCTTATAAATACCCTTCGCCTTCCCCTTCTAATTGGGACACTAATTGGGGTTGTGCCTGAATCTGTGCTTCTAAAATAGCTATTCTTTTGAATCTCAAATAAATGCTTGTTGCCGCTCACTTTGGCCTTTTTATTTTTAGGTTAATACGTTATACATTGTTTCGCTGCAATTCCGAGAACCTGTCTATGTTAAGTGAGGATCTACTGTATTTTCCTGCTCACTGTAGGAGTATTGTTGATTTTTGTATTTGTGTCATTTTTCATTAGGATT